CTGTTAATTGATTCATTCTCCACCATGACTGTCTGTATTTTAACAGTGATATTTGTTGTAAATGATTATAGCCTAAGTCAAACTAAGTGAGGAAAAGGAAGTAATTTCAAAAAAATATCCTCTAAATAAAAAATAGTGAGGACAAAATAAATAGACATTTAACACAAAAGTTACAGGACACATGAATATGAAGAGAAAGACTTTAAGAGGGAGCGGGGCAAGATGGAGGCCTAAAAACAGCCAGCATGTGCTCTCAAGGAGAGGACTGAAAGTTCAAAGGGAATGCCTATCTACAGATGACTCTTCTTGCAAAGAACATTGTAGAACTCCGGAGAAGCGAGGGGGTGATATTCAGAGCGCAGGAGAAGGTGAAGGGGCAATTCACTGGGTGAGATGGAAGGGAACTTTGGGGTGACATCTGTACCTAGAGAAGGACAGGAGAAGAGAACCCTGGGGCTCCACGTTCACCCACAGGCATCGCGGCTGGAGGTCTCCACCACCGCAGACCTCTGGACTGATGAGGAGCTGCTTGGAGTCAGTGCAGAGACAGTGTACTGGAGAGTGATCACAGAAGGGATCTGTTGGCTTCCGATCCCAGGTTTCTGCAGCTGATGCCACTCTGAGCTCTCAGGTGCATGGGGTTTGCTTTGTTGCAGCAGCCTTGGCATCACCCCTCCAGGGCTGCAGAGCGAATGGGCAGAGGGGCTGCCCCCCAGAGCCGTGCCTTGTAACTAGGAGTTGAGCACTCTGCCCTGCCAGCTCGGGATCTGAACAGAGGAGCCACCACAGGCGTCACAGGCATCACCTGAGAAGCCTGGAGCAACAGCTTTAGCCAGACCATGACGAGGGTAGAACCCAGGCCGGCTGTTGGTCGCCGGCCCGCAACCCCTCTCGCCTGCAACCTAGACACTGCTGCTCACCCCACGCAGTTCCAATTCCAGGGTTCTCATGCTGCTAGCTCAGCTACCCACATGCGCAGCTCAGCATCTACACTGCTGGAAATGCACCCGACTACGTGGCTCCGCACCATCAGTACCCATGCCCAGGAACCACGCCCTGCCTACAGGGCCCAACCACGTGATTCCCGCTCTGTGGACTTACCCAGCATCCCACACACACAGCTCCTGCCCTGCCACAGGAAGTCTGCTATCCCTCCCCGAGGCTCCAGCACTGAAACCGGGACCAAGGCTCCACCCAGGTGGCTCTCGAACTCCGCTGGGCCCAAAATTCCACCCCCGAGATTCCTTATGCCTGGGCAAGATCCCACCCCAAGTCTCCAACACTTTTATTGGTCCCACAGAACTGACTCAAGCTCCCAGGGTCCTCCAGAGACTCCCATCCTGAGCCACCATTACGCCTGGACCTGGTTCAAGCAAATGGCCACAACCCAGACACCTGCAACCACCTCCTAGATAGCCTCACTCAGCTGCCAGTGTCACCTCCAGAGAGATGCTGAGTAGAGCAATCCCCCACGACACCAGCCTCAGAAGAGAGGGTCCAACCCAGCCCCCAACTCAAGCTTCCAACAATAATCTGGGGAACAACACACCACTTTGCATGAACATGATCCAGCACCCACTTCAACTGTGACAATCACAGGGGAATGGGACAAAACAGAAGGGCTGCAATACAGGCTTTCAGAGTACCCACCTCTCCCCTGCAGGGTCAACATTCAAGAGTAAGACATAAAAGTACCATCTAGATACCTCCCCTTTTTCTCAATAAGTAGGAGAGTTAGTGAGACAAAGGGTACAGAAGCTACCAAAGTCTGTGGGATTTGGCAAAAGCATTCCTAAGAGGAAAATTCATAGCCTTAAATGCTGACATTAAAAAGACTAAAAGATCATGAATTAACAACCTAATGTCACATCTCGAGGACCTAGAAAAGGAAAAGCAACCTAACCCAAAGCCAGCAGACGAAAGGAAATAACAAAGCTCAGAAACGAAATAAATTAAATGGAAAATAATACAAAATAAAACAAAAAAACCACAAAGGATCAATGAAACAAAAATTGGTTCTTTGAATACATAAACAAAATTGATAGATCTCTTGCTACATTAACCAAGAAGAAAAGAGAAAGGACCCAAGTAAGCTCAGTAAAAAATGAAAAAGGAGATATAACAACTGATACCAAATACAAAACATCATGTGTGAATACTACGAAAATCTCTACCCACAT